ATTCAGAAATAAAGCAAGGTACATAAGGTCCAGATTTCCTTATTATAACACCACAATCCCAGAAGTAAAAGGGAAAAATATCAAGAGCATTCTGTTTGCTTTGTTCTTTTGTATTTTACATTAGATGTAAGCACTGATTGTTCAGAGGTAACATTACTTCGGTTGAGCAGTGGAGCCTTGATTACAATGGTTTTATAGAATATTTATCACTGTCATCCATTTCACATGATTTCTGTAACACTATTAAGACTGCTTAAATTAATGGCTTGCCAGTCTTTTCTTTATAGCTCAATATTTCTATTCATAAGTATTTTAATTTTAATGCTAACAGGTTTAGAGAAAAACTAGATTGGAATTTTAAGAGACAGAAAGAAACATTATACTCTGCCTACCAGAAAGAATAGTCTTTGAAAAGACTCTTGAATGCTCATCAATATAATATGTTGAGTGTTGGCCTATCACCCCTCACACCTTATCAAACCCCAGTCATAGATGACTCCCACCATCCTCCTCCTCCTCCATTCTTAATTACTCATGAGCTACTGAACAGAGCTAGAGGAAGTCATGCAACTCTGCTAATTGGGTCAGCTACAAATGTAGAGGATCTAATCTCAACTGGGCCCTCTCTACAATAAGACAGTTTTTCTACTCCTCCTAATTGTAGCTAGGTAGTACAGTGGATAGAGCACTGGGACTGGAATGGCTCAAGGAAGACCCAAGTTCAAATCCAGCCACAGATACTTACCAGTAAGTCACTTAACATGATTGCCTCAGTTTCCTCATCTTGTAAAATGGGGATAATAATAACTCTTACCTCCCAGAGTTGTTGTGAGGATAAATGAAATATTTGTAAAGTACTCTGCAATCCTTAAAATGTAATAGCACTGCTAATTATTATTAATCTTGTCTCCAAGAGCACCCTTCCACCCCCCTTTAAGTGAGGATCTTATTTCATACTTTACTGAAAAAAAAATCAAAGCCATTCACCGTAAACTCCCTCTTGTTCTATTCTATTAATTTCCCATTCTCTTGACATTACACCAACCCCCTCTATCCTTTAATGAAATATCCTTCTCCTTGACCAAGGCAACCTGTCCACATGTAGCCTCAATCCCACTACCTCCTGATTCCTCCAACAAAATTGCCCCTACTATCATCCCTCTTCCTCTAATCTTAAATCTCTATCTACCGGCTTCCTCCCTGCTGCTGGCCATCTGCCCAAGTCTTCTCCATTCTCAAAAAACCCTCAAGAGATCCTAACATCCCCTTCTAGCTATCATCCTATATTTTCCCTCTCTTTACTCAGGGCTCTCCTAAGCCCTCTGAGATATAGTTACTTACCTCTGTCCTCATCAATTGATAATGAAACCACTCTCTCCCAAGTTACCAATGATCTCATAACTGCTAAAACTAATTGCCTTTTTTTCTTAAACAATCTTCCTCCTTCTTGATCTCTCTGCAGTTGTTGGCTACTTTATCCTCAGGGCTACTCTCTCTTTTCTGGTTTTTCATGATTTTGGTTTCCCCCTACCTGTCTGACCACTCCTTCTCATTCTTCTTTGCTAAATCATCCACTAGCTTGCTCCCATACTGTGATTATACTCCAAAGGTCTGTCCTGACCAATCTCTCTACACATTCTCTTTTGGCAACTTCATCAGCTCACATAGGTTTAATTAATTCTATGCTGATGACTCATATCTCTACATCCATCCCTAAACTCTTTCCTGATCTCTAGTCCTACATCACCAAGTGGCTACTGGACTTGGACATGTCTAGTAAGAATCTCAAACTGACCATGCCCAAAACTAAACTAATCCTCATCCTCCTCAAACCCACTCCTCCTCCAAACTTCCCCGTCAAGGCCAAAACCATGCTACCAGTAATGCCAGTTCCCCAACTTGGTGCCATATTTAATCTCATCACTCTCACCCCATGTACCTAATCAATTGCTATAACCTTGCCATTTCTATCTCTACAACATTTTTCACTCATGTATATCCCTTTCTCTCTAATCACATGACTACCACCTTGAGATCCTCATCACCTCACACCTGGACAAATGCAATAGATTCCTAATTGGTCCCCCTCCCTCTAGCCTCTCCACACTCTAATCTATCCTCTGTGGAGCAGCCAAAAGAATTTTTCTAAAGTAAGCATCTGACCATGTTATAGCTCCTCCATATTCACACTCCAATGACTCTCTATGATCTACCTAAAGATCAGACGTAAACTCCCCTCTTTGGGATTTAAAACTATTTACAATGTGGCTTTCTCCAATCTTCCCAGCATTCTTATGCATTATTACCCCTTGACATATCAGCTGTCCAGCCAGCCCACTCTTCTTGCTGTTCCTCACCTATGATATTTCATAGCTCTTCTCCACGCCTTTGCCCTAGATGTGCCCTCTGCATGGAATGCCTTTCCCCTCACCTATGCCTCTTAGGATCCTAGTTTTCTCCAAGACTCAGCTCAAGCTCCATCTGCATGCATCCTTTCTTCACATACCCAGCTTCTAATGCATTCCTCTTTAAAGTTACCTTGTATGTGTTTAGTGTATACCTATATATGCACACATTGCACCCCCTCCTCATTAGAATATAAGTTACTTAAGGACAGAGAGGGTATTACATCTTTATATCCTCATCATCTCCATGCCTAATGCATATTAAGTGCTTAATAAATGCTTACCAATTGACCAAAGTTGAATGATTACCTAATGGATGAGCTGGGATTGAAATCCAGGTCTTCTGAGTTCAAAGCACAGTGGTTTTTCCCCTGTGCCACAATAGCTCTGATAGAAAAATATATACCTGCACAAAATATCTACTATCTTTAATTATTACTAAGATATAAAGTAGAACTAGAAAGTTCAATTGTTTATGCTCAAATAGAGTAAAGCATTTATTCTATTAAGGAAAAAGTGTGATACACACAAGTCAGAACAACAGACTTAAATTTTGCTCAAATTCAGTTGTGATAAATTAAAATTCTTCACTTAGGTTCAGAAAATTGTATAAGTATAGGAGATTTGGCTAGGAATCAGTTTATATGAAAAAGAACTGGGGATCTCAATGAAATATAAGTGCAAAGCATTCAGCTAAGAAAGCAAATGTCAAGGGGCACCTACGTGGCACAGTGGATAGAGCACAAGTTCTGAAGTAAGGAGGACCTGTTCAACTTCGGCCTCACACCAAACACTTGACACTTAACTAGCTGTGTGACCCTGGGCAAGTCACTTAACCCCATTGCCTGCCCCCCCAAAAAAAATGAAAGCAAAAAAAAAAGAAGCATACTACCCACAATGAAGAAGGACAACATGACTTCATGTTGTCCTCTTCCTCAGCAGATCACAGCTAGAGTTTTTTGTTTATTTCTGTGTTTATTTTTTAAAAAGAAACTGACAAATTAGTTGTTCTTGATCCTGTTCAGTTGTTTAAGTCATGCCTGACTCTTTGTGTGTGACCTCATTTGGGGTTTTCTTGGCAAAGATAATAGAGAGTATTCACAGAGGGGTAACTATAATAGCGAGGAGACTCAAAACCATGCCATATAAAAAAAAATCACTTAAAACAACTGGGGATGTTTAGCCTGAAGAACTAAAGATTTAGTGGGGAGTTGCTATACTGTCATGTGGATGAGTGATTGGGTTCCTTCTACTTGGCATCAGGACACAGAAAAAGAAGCAGTGGATTGAAATTTCAGAGCGTAAAGGGAAACAGTCTAACAAATTAGGATTGCTCAAAAGCAGAATGGACTACTTTGACAAATAGTGAGGTTACCCCAGTGGATGTCTTCAAGTAGGATTTCGTTGATGATTTGTTATAAAGGGTATTCCTGTTTGGGTACGAGTTGAACTAAATGATCTCTGGGGTCCCTTCCCACTCTGAGATTCTATGATTGTGTTCTCCTACTGAGAGGCCAATTTATGGGTAGCTTCGGGGTTTTTTTCTCCATTTACTTTCATTAATTCTGAAAGACTGCAAAAGTTCAAATGGCGCAAAGCCAGAAATATGATAATACAACTGAGTTCAAGATGTGCTCAGAGATAGAATAAGTGAAACTACAGATGGAATTGAATCCACAAGTGAAAACCTCCTGTGAGCTTAAAATTAGCCAGGATTATTCATTTCTCCAGCCAAATATCTGTTCACAAAAATAGAGATTTAGCTTACTATAGTGAAAGCTGAGATCCAATGTGTCTTTTTTTTCTTTATGCCATTAAAATATTGGTCTGAAATAGTATAAAGCCAAAATCTTTGAGGCTCTACACTTGATTCAAAGGCTACAGTCTCATTTATAAGGAAATGGTAGATAAGGAAAGTAATCATTGAAATGTTTAAGCTGATCTAAGGATTCTAAGCTCCGCATTAAGTCAAGTTCAGGCTCTTCAACTAGGCCCTTTTGGCAAAACTGCTAACAAAGGGAGGGAGGTGGGGAGAAGTGATTTGAATTTCATTTGCTTTTATTCCCTTTGTCTATGTTCTAATAACCAACACAAGAGTAAAGGGCAGTCCCCAGCACTGGGAATGAGAGCCAAGGGTCGAAAACAAACAAAAAACAAAACAAACAAAAGTTGACTCGCTATAATTCTCCGACAAAATTTCTGACAAGCAACAATCAAACCATCTTGCAGGCATTATTGTTACCTAGGTTTTAAAATACTGGCTTCTTGTTGACCTGTTGGCTATGACCAGCAATACCAACTCTAGATGAAAGCTTTGTCCCTGCCAGAGTTAATGGATTCTCTATACTTGAAGGCCGTGTCAAGGGAAAAACTAGGTTTCATTACTTCTTAAGCTCTTAGTCACTCTGATAGTAATAAATAATACTGATAACCATGAAAAAGACCCCAGCGCTCTGAGTCGGTCCAAAACAGTGAGTGTTATTTCATTTTAGGAGATGCAGGGTGTATTAATTTTTTTTCTTTATACCATTAAAACCTTGGTTTAAAAAAAGTAGTATAAAACTAAAAATCTTGAAAGATGCCACAAGCTCTTACCTGATTGCATGTATTGATGTCTATTCCTCCCTTTAAATACTCCACCACTTTGTCAAGATTGCCAGCTCTGGCCGCTCTAAGAAAGCTGGCATTGCTGTCAGACTGCGGAGAGAAGGAAAGCCCTGTGGTTAGTTACAGCTAAGAGAAAACCAGAATCTGATAGAGTCGCACAAGTTTACATTTCAAATCAAAGCAGCTTAGGTTGCAAAGACTTCTTAATGTGAGGTTTAACCTCGAGTTATTATAGGCAATAAAAGGTGGCAATAAAAGATCACCTTTTTTCCAGAGAGTAGTTGTTTGCTTAAATTAATGACAAATGTGCTCTACTATTTCAAAGAGAATAGGAATCCAAAGTTACTACTTGAAAATAATTAGCACCAATTTATTCCCAATCTTCAGCACGTGCCTGAATTGGAAAGGAAATTTTTATAACCCTGAAACCCAGGCTGTGCTTTTGTGTCCCAAGCCTAAAAAAATTACAATTCTAGTAAGAATCAGGCAGTGAAAAGAAAATTAATTCTCTTTTTTTTCTTTTTTAAACTGCTGTGCTGTTTAATTTTCCTGTGCATCTCTGGGAGAACTCTAAGTAGCAAAAGTTTAATTCTCTCTTATGAGAAAACAGCAGAAGATGATAAGGTGATCTATTCAGTGAAGCCAAAGCAAATACTGAGAGCCAGCCAATTATGTCGGGGGAGACAGGAAGCTGAATTTAAATCAGCTGGGATAAGCACCAATCTAAAATCACCTGGACAAAAAGAAGAATAAAAGTGTGACTATACTTATTCCATACTCTTTCCTGACTTCCCTAAAGCCCTAATTGTTGGGGTATTTCCTGATGGGTTTCCTATAGAAATATATTAAGTGACTTGCTAGTAAGTGCATGGTACATAGTAAACACTTCATACTAAATGTTTATTGGCTGACTGGTAATAATCAAATAATATCATTTTCTTGGGGCTAGAAGAAACCTTAGAAATGTAAGAGAGTTCTATTTTTCAGATGTGAAAACTGAGACCCAGGAAAGTTAAATGGCTTCCCCAGAGCTAGAAAATCTTTCGTGTTATAATTTTAATATATTTTCAAAATAAATATAATATGATTATCTCTCAATGACAATTTTTGAGCAAAAATTGGATTAGTGAGGAAGCCATCACACAAGGAGAAACCATTTACCCACTGTCAAAATCCAGGTTTGCCGACTTCCACACAAGCATGCACCCACTACATCGTATTATTTTCTCAGAATGCCACCGGCAGACAGTTCAGGACAGCTATAGTTTCTGAGAGCATTTAATGATGGAAATGGAGATCATTTAATCTATAACCTTGACTTTGATATGATTTGCATACTTTTAATATTATTTTCGGGGGGGGGTTGGTAAGCTTTGAGACTGAACAGCTGTCCTCATTTCCCATAAGTACATATGCTATAGATTTGCAAAATCTGATGTACTGTTTACTACCACACATGACTACATTCAACTCTTAAAATGTCTCACTCTACTTCTTAAGCAATGCGATCTAGAGATGATCCCACACTGTCTCCTTTAAAGGCGATACCGTCCTCTCCATCATTGCTTTAAGTCATATACATAGCAACACACACAGAATGTATCTGCAATGCTGCAATGGCTGTGAAATGTGACCTGCCTACTTCATGACACTCAGGAGCTTATCTCAGCTAATTCTAAATGTTCACAAAGATTCTGCTTGTTCAGGCTCCTAGATGCCACACCACTTTAAAATGAAATTTGAATCTATTCACGTGCCTCCCTGGACAACCAAAATAACACACAAGTACAGTTCAATTGAACCACAAAGAAAACATCATCTCTCTCATCTGCAGGCTGTTCTCTCACACACACACACACACACACACACTCACACACACACTTACTCACTCACACACACTCACACACACACACACTCACACACACACACTCACTCACACACACTCACTCACACACTCACACACACACTTACACACACTCACACACACACTCACTCACACACACATACATACATACACACACACACACACACAGATGGTATAAAACATTTTGTCCAAGAATGAACAGAGGACAAGATTTATATGAGCCAAGATGAGCCAAGAACATTAGATTTACTTCTGCTCCGGATTTTCATAAGACCGAAGTTTGTGTGGTAGATGACTAAGACAACACTATTCACTACAGATGAATAATCTCATGTAACTGAGGATGAAATTCTGAATCCTTATGGCTCTCAGGGGCACCTACACATAGCAGAGTAGAAGGCAGGGCCCTAGGTCATACAAACTTAGGAATCTGCTTTCAATGATTTTTTTTACCTGAGTGGAGGGTGAAAGCGGTGGGAGGTACAGGGCCCTTCAAAGTAATATGACTGTGCCAACCCAATGTCTAATAAGTGTGATCTGGGGAGCAAGTCAGTGTATTAAGGGTTTTTTTGGGGAAGGAATCTCCTACCTTTCTGTATCAATACAACAAGAATCTCATGGCTGGGATAAGAACTTGTCCTATTGAAGCTAGAATTAATGGCAATGACTCTCAATAGTCTACAATAGCAGAAAAATGAAGAGAAAATGACAAGAATTTTATAATAGTTGATATTCACATTGTGTTTTAAAGTTTACAAAGCATTTTATAAGCAGTATCTCATTTGACATTCACAGTAACCTTGGGAGGAAGTTTTGGAAAATACTATTAGCTTTATTTTGTAGATGAGGAAATGAGGCTCAGAGGTAAAAAGATTTTTCCATGGTTACACAGCTAGTAAGTTCTGGAGATAGGATTCAAACCTGGATCTATGTAATTCAAAATCCAGCTCTCAATCTACTATGCAATACTGTTGATGCATATTTTTACAGCAGAATTGTGAATTAAATTATACTTAAGTCTCTCTATTAATGGGGTTTGGTCTCTCATATACAAAAGGACTGCTTCTAAGGGAATCTACCTATAAAGTCTTCCTATGACATGGACCCCCAAGGTAGTCATGATGGCTTACTCTAGATCTCATTGTGTGTACATGTACTCATGCATGAATAAGCATGCTAATATGCATGTGTGTAATTAACTTCAAGTCAACAAGATTTGTTTTTTATTCATTATGTACTATGTACTGTACTGGGCTCTGTCTTACAAAGACAAAAATTAAATTGTCCCTGCTCTGAAGGAGCTTATATGTTATTGAGGAGGAATAATACGTACCAACAGAATTAAAATGAAAATATATAGAAAAAAATAATTTCTAGGGAGAGGGAACAGGTAGAGAGGGAACAGCCAAAGAAGGGAGTTTTGGTCTAGGCAGCCCATAGTTCAGAATCCCAAGAATTCTTAGTGGAGCCATAGGGTAATAGATGGATAAACCCTTAATAGGAGCAATGTTAATGTTGATTGGCTTATCAAGTCTTTGAGTAAGAAATAGGAAGTGAAAGATATAAGGTATTTATGGGTCAGGTGGCAAGCCTCTGGTCAAAGCAGGGGCTACAAAGGGCTACAAAAATGTGCATACCCTTTGATCCAGCAATAACACTTCTAGGGCTATATCCCAAAGAGACCAAACAAATGGGAAAAGGACCCACATGTACAAAAATATTCATAACAGCTCTTTTTGTGGTGGCAAAGAATTGGAAATTGAGAGGATGCCCATCAATTGGGGAATGGCTGAGCAAGTCGTGGTATATGAATACAATGGAATACTATTGTGCTTATAAGAAATGATGAACAGGCTGACTTCAGAAAAACCTGGAAAGACTTGTATGGTCTGATGCTGAGTGAAGTGAGCAGAACCAAGAACTTTGTACACAATAACAGCCACATTGTGCGATGACTAATATTGATAAACAACCCTTCTCAGCATTACGAGGATCTAAGACATCTCCAGAGGCCTCGGGATGGAAAATGCTGCTCACATCCAAAGAAAGAACTATGGAAGTCGAATCGCTCTCACTTATTTTTACCTTCTGTTGAGTTTTGTTTCCTCGTTCTGATGGTTCCTCCTATTGGTTTTAGTTTTTACTTACAACTTCACTAATGTGAAAACATGTTTAATGGGTATGTAAATGTAAAGCCTATATCAGATTATGCGCAGTCTTGGGGAGGGGGTGGGGAGGAAGGGGGAGAAAAATTTTCAACTCAAAAGCATATGGAAGTGATTGTTGATAAATCAAAATAAATTAAAAAAATTAAATTAAAAAAAGCAGGAGCTAGTGGAGACCTGGAGTCTAGCTGGTTATAGAGGATTGAGGAATAATTTAGGTTCTCACCCCCAATATTTAATAAGATCAGCTCTACCCCCAAGATTCATTCATATGTAGAGTAGATCTATCTCTGGAGCAGAACTGGGACAGATGCAGAAGTGTGGCAAACTCAACTTTAATATGCTGGTGAGTTGGTTGTTAAATTTTCAGTATTACATTCATATCAGCAAAAAGCTACAATGCATGGCTTATTGTTTTGTTGATTTAGTCTAGCCTTAAGAAAGTAATGGAAAAAAATGTTAATAATATAATTCAACTTCAAGGTGTGTTGTATGACAGCCCCCCACTCTCCCTACCTTGTTAAATATTTACCAAGCACACCACTGGGAGGCTGTATATAAATGCAGAACTATTTTACACACATACACACTAACACCCACAGCCTGACCCTCAATGAAGCCAATCTATAATTAAGACTGCTGTCAGAAGGGACTAGGGGAAGCAGTAGGTATTCTCATTGCCTTCCATCAAAACAGAGATGAAAGAGGATTCAAGGACTCATGGAGAGAAAAGTATTAAACTATTCCACTATGCTTGCCTCTGATGAAGACGCAAAGCGGGAAGGTTTTTCAAGGGAAAGGGTATGAGTAACCTTTCACAATAAGTGACAGCTTTCCTCAAAAGAAGATTTAATGGATAGAAATGCCCTATTGAGGAAATGAGTCAGTAGCATCTGTTAATATTTCTTGTGTGACAAATCTTGGATTAACGTAAAAACAATCTCTGTTTTAAACAGATTCTTATGGCCTCACATGCCGCTCCTTCCTCCAGACTCCACAAAATCTAAAATCTGCTTTGACCACGCTCGTTAAAGGGCCCTGAATATATCCAATTATTTCAA